CCCTCTAACAACAGCCAGAAAATCCCAAGCATGTGCAGACAGCAATTTCAGGTACAAAAAGCCATTTTCCCTTTGGTCTACAAACATCAATGTTTCTAATGCCTGCCCTATCATCTGATGATGCTCCATTTGGTATGTGAAAATCCAAATTCCTACGCATGTCCCACAAGGGCTTTCCCAACCTAGCCCCAAGACATTATGGCATCATCTCCTGCCACCGCCCTCACATCAGTGTTCCATCTTGTTGTACCCTTCATTTCTCTGGGCCTTAACATGCCAGCTTTCACTGCCTACAAAGTTCTTCTCCAATTCTCCTCCAGGCAAGCCCCCAGTGATTCTTTAAGACCTGCTTTAACTGGAAACCATCAGCAACACTTTCCCTAATTCTTCAAGCCAGAGATGGGCACTGCCTAATCGGTGACCCCAAAGAAACTTGCACATACATATTTTTTTTAAATAGCACTCATCACAGCATATTTTGTTTACATAGGCCCTTCCCAAAGATTGTGTGGCTCCTAAGACAGTAAGTATAACCGAAGTGAAATAGGAGGTGGGTATCAAAATCAGAGGTGACCTGGGAATGGTGCATCCAGAAGCACATTAAATTTTAAATTTGGTAAAGGACCAAAAGTACGTATTCTTTTCAGTTTATAACACCAACTTTAAAAAGTCAGGTCATCAAAATCTTGAATGAACAGGATTCTCATAGGGGAAGCTGGGGGTGAGACCATCTTTTTTGCTTATTTTTGGGTAAATAAAGGCCAAAGACCAAATATTACACATTGCTCATTCCTGGTATATACTAGGTACTAAGATACCTACAAACTGAATAACAATTTAAATGTTAAACTAAAAAAAAATCTTAGATATTGTCTTGATGAAACAAGTTATTTCTTCCCAAAATGTATAATAGGTTCTAAACAGTTTTATATGGGTATAATGACAGTGACTCAAACTTTCTCAAAACTTAAATGAGATTCCTATACATAAAGAAGAAAATTGTAGAACATAATTATTTTTAAAGTTCCCTTATAAAGAGTAAAGAAATTTAATTCTTGTGTGCCATATCTCCCATAATCTACCCCCACAAACAACACAGTTATGGCCTTGAACCCTTAGGCTCTTTCTATTCCTCCAAAACCAGAAGTTGGCTATAAATAACATATTCATTACAGTTTTAGCCTTAATGGAACATGTGTCATTTGGACAAATCAGAAGCCGTGAAAAAATGATGGTTCCAGGTCACTTTATGCTATCTGAAAGATTTGAGGTAAATACTTACACCACACATCAGACTCAGCTGGTGCTACCTGAAAATGCTACTGCTCTCTCTCACACTCCTGGGTTTATAATGAAGAAGGACTTACCCATAACTACTGTTCTCCTAGGCGTGCTTTCAATCCAGTATTGATGACGATCCAGCAAACAGGTAAATAATATCATGGCAAATCTCAAGGAAAAGTAAAACACTTTAACAGAAAGAACTAGTCAACTGTGGGAAGAAATAATGCATTTGACTTTACATACCACGGTATTTGTGTGAATGAGACTTGTTTATCCTCTAGCACAACTACATTTCTGTCAAAGTCAGTTGGTGATAGAATTTAAACCAACTTTTAAAAAATGTTTAAACACAGGGCTTATTGATCAGGAAGTCTTTCCTTCATAAAACAAGTATTACTAAGTGCCTACTAGGCATAGCCATCCCTCACTATACTTTGGGTATATTTGTGATCAAAACAGATCCCCAGCTTCATGGAGCTTACATTCTATGGGGAAGGAACAGACCATGTGTCTTACAATGAACCCAATAACTTATACTGTATAAAGGATGTCTAAGAACCTTTCATTGTGAAATGAAGTTTAAGTTTTCTAATACTGATGGCCTAGTCCTTTATGGACACAATGCCTGTCACTCAACAACTAGATCTCCCTGGTGAAATTCAAAGATACACCTCTTACAACTAACAGAAATAAGTTTAGGAATATGAACCGCATCACTCTACAAATAACTGTATTTCACATTTTCTCTTGAACTGGTGTCCCACAAGGCCTGTCCTCTCTCTCAGAGAACAGTGCCCTGTTCTTCCATTCAAATGGAATACATCTCCCTGCCTCTGAAAGCCATGCACACAATATCTTGGCCAAGCACCGCACTAAGTGCTGGAGATACAAAGTTGTGTAACACACTATGTTTACCCTTAAAAAGTTAACTTCAGAGTAATAGGAGGAAGAGGTAAAAGGAAGCTCAAGGTTTATGAGTGTGTAACTGAAGTATGCAGAGCATGCTGGGTGCACCGAGAGGAGAGGATGATTACCTCTGCCTGGAGAACGCTGCTCTGGGTGGATGGATAAATGTGTGAAGGCAGAAAGGTCCAGCAACTTATATGGGCCAGGAAGCATAGAAGCCTGGGAGAGCAGTCAGAGAGGAAGTGATCCCAAGAAGCTAAATCCTCGAACAGGGGAGGCTATGTCTGCACAGACACCATCACTGGAAGTTACGCCTCTCATGGGAAGAAATGGAAAGCAAAAGTACAGATGGCTTATGAGCAGACAAGTTAGAGTACTGGGCACACTGAGAACAGTGACTGGACCTCAAGGCAATGGTTAACTAATGGGAAAGCATCTGAAAAAAAGCAAAGAGACCAAGCATCTCCAAAAGGCAAGGAGACCAAGAGTGCTAATAGAACCCAGACCCAAATCGCACCTGCGTTCTGCTGGGTGAACATGCTGCCAACTAGGCACCCAAGGTTAAGAGCAGACCCTTCCATTCATATGCCAGTCTCAGTTCAGCAATGTTCCCAAACCAAGCCACAGGGGAAGTGCCACTGTGTGTGCCTTCTACATGCGCACAAGCTGGATGAGATAAAGGGAGTTCCCTCCCCCACTTCATGCTGAATACCCATGAAATGCCATGTCCCAGAATTCATCTGGACTCTATTTTTAACCACAGTCACTATTCTCTGGAACTAGAATATCAATAGTAAGGAGACGCTATGCCATGGAATTGTCCTATGCATTATATATAGCATTCTGCAGCATGATCATCCATCTCCCCAGTTAGTCTTAGGAACTCCTCAAGGGCAGGGACTAGCTAATAGTAGGCACTCAATTAAGGGCTGACAAACAAATGAATGAATTAACCCACCCATTTTTCCCATAGTTCCAAGCTAGTATAACGGATAGAAAACATACCAATTGCTGCTATTTTTCATTCTAAATGATGGCAGCACGAAGCCTAATCAACCAGCTTTTTGTAAGCATGACATCCATGACCCTACATATAGACACACAAAGTCAAATACTAGAATCAGAGGAGACCAATTTTTAAATTTAACTTTTTAAATAAACAGTTTTCCAGTCTCAGAAATTTGCTGAGTGAACGAGAGTGTGTTGGTTCAGAGTCCGACCCCAACCCCCAAATATGTACATCCCAGCTTTGAAAGGAAAAAACACTATAAACCAAAATATTCCGAAACAAACAAACAAATGAACAAAAACCTTTCTGCAAAACTTCAAGAACTTGTCTTAAACCCTCATCTCCTCTAAATGACTATATAAATACACAGTGCCCTGGCCAAGGCTGAAAGAGAACATTAGGCAAAAACGGAAGAGAAAATTTTGTTTAAAAAGAGAAAAAAAAAAAATCCAACACTGTTGAACCAAAAAGTAAATACTCATTTACATCAGACTCTGCTACTCCGGGCGGGTAAGGCTTGGGCCGGGCTACTGAGGCAGGCCTGAGACCAGCTGCACGCATTTAATCTCACAGAGCATCCGGGTTGTACCTCCTCCCTGTGGTCTCTCCAGCAGTTGCCCTCTAGAGTCCGAATTACAGATGTTAAGCTTGGTGAAGAAGAGAGCTGACTTTGCTGATTAATAATAACAATAATATTTGTGTAGAGAAATGCAAACGTAATAGTCCAGACTGAGTTACTGAGCGAAGGCACTTCAAAAGTCAGCCCCTCTCTCTCCTATGGTATGAGAGAGAGAGAGAGAGAGAGAGAAAGAGAGAGAGAGAGAGAGAGAGAGTGTGTGTGTGTGTGTGTGTGTGTTTGGGGGGCTGGGGTGGGAGGTCTTGCCTTGGTGAGGAGAAGAAGAAAGTGCAAAAACTAACGTACCAGAGAACCACTCTTTCTGGAATTCATAGAGTCTGGCCTTTTATCCCTGGGCGCAAGCCCAAGACTAGGGACCCGGGTTTTGTCAGGGGCGCCTCCCCGCTGTCCTGCCCTGGGTTGCTCCACATGAGCAGAGAGAGACAGGAGGCAGGCCCCTCTGACACCTACTTAACCGAGGCAGATGGAGAGGAGAGTGTGTGGGATGCCTTTACTTCCCCCTGAGGAGGCGCCCAGCAGGATCCCACAGAGCCAGCAGCTCCAAAATCGGATTTCCACACATCCCCCCACCCCAGAACACACCTTGCCCCTCTGGCAGGAGGAAATGGAACATTAAGCAAGTGCGGCTCTGGTGTCTGAAGGGGCTTTAGAAGACCTAAAGAACCCTTCTTCCAGGATTCTGTACTTTTTCCAAACCTCTAGAGAAGTAGCCAAGTTGGGAAACAGTTCCTCCCTCACTGACCCAAAGAGGGCAAGGGTGTTACTTTGAGGAGGACACAATCAGTGTCTGCAAGACGTCCTGAGCTTCAGACACATACTTTATTAATAATCTTACATACACAAAATGTCCAAGGGAAAGCCTAACAGGCTAGTTTCTGACAGCTCCAGATAACAGCAGGAGGAACTGAAGCCATGCTGACTCCACAGAAGCAACGATCCCTTTCCCACCCAAGGGATGTGATGCAAATAAATAAAGACAATTATCTGCAGAACTTAAAGTGCAAGAACAACACTGTGAAGTCCTTCTCCCCAAGTGCAGTGACTTGTGGGAAACAGATAGGAAAAATAAAAAGAACAGCTGGAAAATTTAATTGCAGGGGAACAACGCAAAGGCTGACACTGTTTCACAGAACTAGCCAATAGCCAATAGCCACTGTCCCTTACCTTAAGATACAGAAGCAGCTCTTCGCTCCTGAAGATAAGCGGCAGAACCCGAATCTCTGTTTGCTGTCAATGTCAGTGAGCACGAATGTGAAGTTCTGGCCAACTTGGCTAACTGTGAGGCTGCAGCAAAGACAGAACAAAGGGGAAAAAAATGAATGTGCACTAAGTTTCTTGATAAAGTATCTAATCATGACAAGTCATTGAACCTGTAATACTTCCTTTCTCAGCGGAACTCTTTATAAATGAACTCAAAATTTACACACTTCGAGGGAATGGACTGCAAGCTAGTAAAACAAACAAACAAACAAAAAAACCCACCAAGCAGCCCATTCTAGTGACCACCTCACTACCAAAGTAGCTACCAAACCTTCCACTTACTGAGTTCAGGCAGGTAGCCCTGTTAATCATCTCATCAAATCCTGAAAGGTGCATCCTAATTAACCTCATTTTATAGATAGTGACCACCTCACCACCTCATTGGAGCTACCATGCCTTCCATTTATGGAGTTCAGGTAGGTATAGCCCTGTTAATCATCCCACCAAATACTGAAAGGAGCATTCTATTAACCTCATTTTATAGATGAGGAAATAGCCTAGAAGCAGCACTGCCTAAGGTGCCAGCCGGTGAGCTGCAAAGAGCTATGTTTTAAACCCAGGTCTTTATGATGCCAAAGCCTACTCTGTCAGCTTGCTGTTAACGACGATCCCCTGACCATTCCCCTGGCTGGCAAAACCAGCAATGGCAACAGAATCTAAGTGTCCACTGTGTGCCAGGCATCAAGTTAGACACTTGATATATAGTATCTCACTTACTCATATCAACCCTGGAATTTAGATGTTGTTCCCATTTTACAGAAAAGGAAACGGAAGGAGTGAACAGGTAGGTAACTGAATCATGTTCACAGAGCTTCTAAGGAGAGTTGCTGAATTCAAGAGAGCAAGGTTAGCTGCTACTTTCCTACATGCCTGTATCTTTCAGAATTTTTGAGTTTATGAGGGACATATATTTTACAGGACAGAAATACAATGCGAGGTGCTAAGAAATGAAAACAGGCTTTAAAGAAAGAATAAAGAAAAAAAAGCTAAAAATTCCCACATCAACGCAAAATTCAGTACACCACACATAAAAGTGACAGAAAACAGGAAATACGTTTCAAACGATTAAAAACGATATTGCTAATCAGATTAATCTAGAAACTCTTTTTTGCAGTTGCAAAATGTTTTAAAGACCACTCTAAAATCAGTTTACAAAAAAAAAAAAAAAACACTTCACCACTTAGCTTGGATTCCTTTTTAAAAACTTAAATATTTCAAATCCTAATACATAAATTTATGCTAACATAATATTCTGGAATTTGACACTGAATTATTCAAAGGAACTCATTAACCTATATTGTATTTTACATACATTGTATTTTACAAAATATACTCAAATTGACAAAATATTCAAATCAGTGCTCTCACCTAACATTTACTTTATGTTGCCAGCAGAAATGAAAATCATTCACCAGGTCTTTTCCAAAGGCAGACTTACTGAGTCTTTGGGTAGGCTATGAATTAGTTTTTCAAATATGGATAGCCTTCCTTTCTAAAACTCCTTTATACAAACCACATAAGCAAATGAAAAGGAGACTTTCAAGGTATCCCAGCACAAAGAAGGTCAATGGACCCTACCTGGTCATGTTTAAGGAAACAATTCCATCCCCTAGAGAGTGGTTAGAGAGTACAAGAAAATAATTCTGAAAGAAAAGAAAGTGTTCCGCTCTCCTTTTTTAACTAGGAAGGTGAGCGAAAACAAGGTGGCAATTTAAAAGCAGTGTGGTAATAAAACAGGTGTAAGTAATGCTATCCCTCCACCTTACACAAGCCAGAAGAAGGAACACATTTCTATAAAAGTTATAGAGCTGTCCAGGGGACACCAAACTCTACCTTCTTACGGCTGTTATGTTTTATCAATAAAGCTTGGATACTGTGTTACTATGGTGATTTAATACTATGTTTTAAAGGGGGATTATACGATTAATTTTAACAAGGTTGAGAACTGAAGATGTGTGAGAAACAGGATTCTAGCTCACATAATTAAAGAGATTGGGGAGAAAAGTGGGCCTGACTGCGGGAAGAGAAAAACTTGAATTATTAAAATATTAAAAGCAACAAGTCACGATGATGCTAAGTTACAAATAGGTCATGCTTTTATGAAATACTATTATGTGATCATACAAAATATGACTGTTCATTATTTCAACGCAGAGTGTGATTTCCCTTCTAGAATTTTTAAAATGAAACATCCTAGAAGGAAAGGGTATTGATAGGACTGAATGAAAAGAAAACACCCAGGGTCTCTAGGAAAAGGACACAGAATGAACACAACTCATTTGTGAACTGAGTGTCATTAATTTCCCCATTATCTTTTCACTACCATTAAAAATGCTGAAAATGCTTTTAGTGACATCCTAGGCTCAAAGAAAGATTCATTACTCATTTACTTGGTTCATATCCCAACTCAATCACTTGCTAACTGGGCCTTCATTTAGCAAGTTACTTAACCTCTGAGCACCTCAGTCTCTTTACCTGGAATAACAATGAGAAACTACCACCCAACCCAAAGGAGGTTTTAGGAATAAGTGAGATAAGCATTTACTATAAAGGTCAGTCCATAATAAAAACAATTAATAAAAGAGATGCAAGCTGTTACCATCTAAAGGAAAACAAAAATTCATATTAAAATCAAGCATTTGCTCAGAATCTTCCCGACTGACTCATTTTTGTAATCTTTATTTGTAGAGAAAGGAAGTTTGCCTTTCTCTCTTCTCTGTTGCATATTTTCAGTAAAGGACAGTCCTCCGGGTGACCAAGTAAGCTGCTCATACTCTCAGTAAAGTGAACAAGATTCTTTGTGGGGTGGGGGGGAATCACAGCTTAGGAGAGAGCATTTGTTATTCTCAGCTGATTCACCTTTTTAATTCCTAATAGGGTGAAGTACAAGCCATTTAAACAAACAAACAAACAAACAAAGGAGGCCCCAAACCATCAAACTCTGAAATCTTTTCTCCTTGGGCAATTTCCAATCAACTACAAGTCAGGCAAGGGCAGTCAGAGGTTAACTTGAAGGCGTCTGAACCTCCAAGGAATCTGTCATTCCCTCTCTGCTTGCTGCTGTACGCTAGGACAGTGTTCACGCTTTCTCCATAAAAATGACTTTGGGGAAAGGGTCTGCTTCATTAAAGGCTACAGGCTTAATGTTTACCTCCAGTATTAGAATCCATAACTTTTTAACAGGAATCAGAGATTTCACGATGATTAAAACTGAGAGGAACGGCAGAAAACATCTCGCTTTAAGATGGGAAAACTGAGGCACAGGTATGTTTTCGGTTTTGTTTTTTTTTCAAAGTATCAGGACTAACACAAAATTCCAAGCCCAATTCCGGTTCAAAGTCCTCTCCTTTCTACCAGGCTACACTAAGGAAATCCTTCCCTCACCTGCAGCTTGCAACTCTGTTAAAGGAACTCATGTATGTGAGGAATCCAGATAACTGTCCTAACAAACACACCACTTCCCACTAAGCAAGAGAAACCAAATTTGCCCAGGAGACCAGGGCCGAGCCCACCCTTAGCTGTGCTTCCAAGGCCTAGATGAATATGGAAAACAAGGGAGAAAAGCAACAAATATTCAAACCAGACTTTAACATTCATGCTGACTTGTAAATGCCTGTGAGCCATTTAAGGCTCCTCCGGCAGCATTTTGCTTAATCTCAAAGTTACTTACAGATTGAGTGTATAAATTGCATGAAGCATGTCAACAGACAGTGTGATTCCAATCTTCCAGTGAGAGATGGGATTTTCCATATTAGCCTTTTAGTTGAGTTGTCCACCTTGTAAACTGAACAACTACTATACTGGGCACCATAACAATATTGGCCAGCCATCCTGCTATGGAGATTTCCCGCTCGTGGGAGAGGAATAATAAACAAGTGTACCACACAGCATACAGCTGCATGTACCAGTGTTTTATGAAACCAAAGCAAGAACAAAGATAGAAGCAAATGGAAGAGAAGGCAAGGCCCTACTCAGATAACAAAGTTAGAGACAGCTTTTCAAAGGTGATAATGATCCTAACCCTGAAGGATGAGGTGGAGCAACCCCTTCAGAAGCAGGGCCTGGGTGTTTCAGGCAGAGGAAAGGGCTAGGGAAAGAGTCTCAGGCTGGAAAGAGCTAGGCATGTTCAAGGAACTCAATGGATACCAGTGCAGTTAACATACAGGAGCTAAAGGGAAAGTGGCATGATATGAAGTTGCCAGATAAAGCACAGAAAGCCTCACAGGTCATGGCAAAGATTTAGGATTTTTTTGTAAAGGTGATGGAAAGCCACTGAATGGTTTTCATCAAGAGAAAAACAGTCTAGTGTACAATGGCAAGTGTTATATGGAGAACAGTTTGGAAGAAGTAGAAGCAAAGAAAGTAATCAGGAAGCTAGTGTAGGAGTCCAGGTGAGACTGGATGGAGGCCTAACTCATGTAGGGAGAATGAAAATGGATCTGCGTGGACAGTTCCAAGTTATAGCTAGCTGGTGTAAATGACAGGCTTGCAGATGTACTGAGAGTAAAAAGACAGCAAATTACCATTTTATGATAGAAAAGACAAGTTTGGGGGGAGATCTAAGAGTTCCATTCAGGATATGTTAAGTCTGAGAAACCTTAAAATAGAAATGTCAAGTACATGTTGAACATACTACTTAGGAAATCAGAGGAAAAAGTTTGGGCTGGAGCTATAAAGTGAAGTCATCTACACACAGACGTATTTAATGCCACGGTAAAGAACAAGATCACTTACAGAGAGCGTTCAGAGAAACAGAAGAGGATCCAGGACGAGGTTACAGAAGCACCAGTTTAGAGAATGCAGGGAGAAAAGACCATCAAAGGAAAAATGGAGAACAAGCAGGAGGGATGGGTCAACTGTACCCATGAATCACGATGAGAGAGAAAAACTGTTTAGTGAACTGAGCAATATCGAGGTTGCAGATGACCTTGATTAAGAAAAGCTCTAGCTGAATGACAGAAGCAGAAGACAGCCTGGAGAGGACTGTGGGATAAATTGAAGTGTGCAGCTAACTCCTCCAAAAA